AAATTAACTGTACCCATAGAACGGTGATAAAACATAAACCCGATGATTAACTCGGTGGTACATCGGCAAGAATGAACCACCTTTTATCTTCATTGATTTTATCTATTTAACAACCCTACCTCGGAATCAGCTTATCTACAATTCAATGTTGTAATTCATTGGCCTTACCTGTAAAAATAGCACTTACATGCTCTGACTGTAAAATATGTTATTTGTTTAGTTATCTACTGAAGTTTATTCACTTAAGAGGGCCTTACAGCTTTATAAGTTGATTGAATCATACACTCCTAGACTGCTCTTCAGTGAATAGCAGTCGGAGGATTGAAATGTCAATTAAGCCCTACCCAAGAAAGTCAGTATATAAATGTTACTGTGCCCGATTCCGAAGACATTTACAAAATTAATACTCAACCAACACTAAATTAAACCTAATACCACTCTTTCGGATAGCCTTTCCTACCGAATAACGTCATGAATACCATGATAGAAGAGTCGACAGTGAAAATGCTTTCTGCCACCTGAGGCCAAGCTGTCAACCACAGATATAGGACTAGCAAAGCAACAGCGTCTCCCGAAATTTCTACTTTTCTTTACAATTACAAGTCTGAAGATATCTGTATGGCCATATACAAGGATCGTCTTGACTTGGCTAGTTTTTAAGAAGACGGACATGATGCTTCGGAAGTTACTGTCTGCTCTTTGTGCATTTAGTGCATTGCTGAAATGAAGTAATTAACAGTGTTACAAGGTAATCGAGAAACTGAAAGCAAACTGGTTTATGAAAGAAATGAAATTCATGTGGCTATATTAATTCGTCGCATATTGACAATTGCCGGCTTATATGCAAGTCATGTCATCGAGTCCAATTAATTATAATTATATTCCTCCTGTCAGTACTGATGTGGGACTTTACTCGGTATTTTTGAGACAGTATAACTCACTGTCCCCTCTTGCATTAAACAGATATTCCAAACACCTATCAGTAATCCACTGTTACGTCTGAGGTCATCAGTCTTTTGTCGCTCAATACAGATCCTATGTTTTTAGTGAATATCAGGTGTTTTGATGTTTTTAAGTGAAGCATGTACTTCCTAATCTTCGTCCCCCAATAAATAGGTTGACAGTCATCTCCCAATCAGCAGTCACTGTTCGAAAAAGCTATTGCTTGCTTTTATTCTAGTAGGCTGCCATTGAGGTGAAGCACACCGCTATACCTTCGAGTAATCAGGTGACGTATATATATATACATACAATGGCGAAAAACGCTACATACTTGTAAAAGTCATGTTTTTACATATATGTATATATATATATAAAGGCATAGTCAAAAAATATTGTTTTTTTATTTGTTAAATAGATGTGTAAATGGGGATTAAAAACCAGACCTCTTTGTATATTTTTATCGCCGTGAAAACTTAAAATGCGACCAATAAGCTGCAGAACACGGGAGACGTGTGAAAAAGAATTAAGGTGCGAAAATGTTTCACACACGACAGTCGTTTAGGCGTACTAGTGATTTCGTGATTTTCAAGGGCATGCCATTTCACACCAGTTATCGTATATCAGCGAGGTTTTCCTGCGATTATTTACTATCGGAGGTTGCATCGTGATTTCACGGACTATGTCTTTTGGTATGTTCGTGGGCAAACAATTGGAGAAGGAAAAGGCTTCTGTGTAAGCGGCTTCCAGCCGGATTGCTTTGACTTTGTCCTTCATTCCATCCTAATCGACAGTATATGACTTGGGTGACAATGAAAATCTTCATAGGGTCCATCATAAGCAGCGTGAAGGGACTATTTTAATGGAACATGACGTATATAACATATGTATAATACAGCAGTGCTTGGTGGATGGATATATTAGCTGGTTGTTTTTGGATTGGAATGCGTTTAGGCTAGGAGCGTTTGTATGAGGGCTCACGTAGGATTTGAGATCCATAATCATTGAAGAAATCAAAGGATTTATGAATCCTCTAGATAGTCAAAAAGTTGTATCGTAAACAGGCTTTACTACAGTGCATCCGCAGTCGACTTTAATTGCATTCTAAATTAGGAGAAATCAAGTGAAAGGGCATTTGTTCGTTGTAATACGGTTTAGGCTGAGAGTACGGCTTTCAAATATCTATGAAGTCGTCGTATAGAACGACTAGCTTGTGAGAGGTAGACGATCTTATGGGTCCGTGTGATGATCAAGAATATAATTCGATCCTGCTTGTAAACTGGCATGCCTCAAGTAACAAACTGTTATTTGAAAACAAATTATTATTACTATTATTATTATTTTTAATCAGACGTTACTGAGACATATTCCAATATTTTAAAAGATTAGAATCATACATGACACGACTAATATGCAAAGTCAAATCTTTAGTGAACTGCAAACTAATCAACTCAGCCTACGTACTGGCGACAGCTACAGCGTTGGACATTGCACGAACCCTAAAACACCGTTCGCTACCCCTCCAAAAGCCAAAGGCACATCGCATGATGTTAATAGGGCTAAGAACAAGATTGCACATAAGGCAGCTTCATCTATTCATCCTAAGCCCAAACACTCAACTACTCCAAAACCTCAACCCACTTATGCATCTATAGTGTCCCAGCATTGCCTTAATGGCCACTATAAAAACCTCACTTAGTCTAGAAATAATCCTCCAAGGAATTGCTCTAAAGGCTATAGCTGTTCACTCCCCGCAATTCGAAATAATACTAAACCCTTTGTAGAAACCCACAAATACTCCATCACATTTAACCCATAACATGTGCCTGTTCATAGCAGCAGAATGCCCGACAATAAACATAGTGGACTGACAATAACCATTCATTGTAACGTTAGGCCACACTCGACTAAAACCACATATACACATGACACCAGTAAGACTTATAGTATGAACCTCGCAAGCTCTAGAATCAGTACACGACCATGCACAAAACGAACACCGCTCTTGGCAATAATCTCAGGCGATTCCCCATTCCTAACCTGAAGCATACAGTCGCATCCACACATAAGGAGACTAAAATTGTCCGCCGCACACAATGAAGCTATAACGTTTGCCTACTTGAGAACTCACCCAGTGATTCTGGATACTATCTAAATCAAGCAACCTAATACAACTATTTGATCCCCCTATTTCGACGTATACACCACTTCATTATTTTTATCTCTCTCCATCGACAGTGCTGTTATGAGGTCTTCGAATGTTGAGGGCGACAATCCTACTCTTTTGAGATCATCTTCTATATACTCCGACATAATGGAGAGTGACACGTCTTTCTCTTCACCGATAACTATCTCTGGTATTAAAAGCTCGTTGAATGAACCTCCTGACCACTCCTCAAATACACTAACTATTCACTCAACCCACTCTACCTATCATTCCGAAACATTTTTCTTTCGCAAATTACCCTCCGTCTAAATTTCTCCCACTATCCATATAGAAAATTAACCAAACGAACATGAATATGGAGCCGGCACTCCTACTTCTTCTTATGACAAAATAAACAATCTACTACGTTCACATCACACCCTCCTACTAGACAAATGCTTGCCTTACCTGACGCTAATGTCAATCAATACCCTATCTATTCGAAATAAAGTTGACTCACCTACACCTGCCAATATTAAACAATCTTTCACTTGTTTTGATAACGGAAAGTTGACTGTTCTTCGATGTCACAGACCTGCACCTCTAAATAGACACCCATGAGCTCTTCTTCTGTGATCGAGTCACTTGGAAAGGTGATGGTTGTCTTCGGCTATTTTTCTATTCATACAGTAAGTAAATACTCCACACGAGGGCTTAGTTTCTATGGGAATTTTTATTTTACCCACCACATTTCAGTACGTTTTTGTCTTTATTCTCATCAGAAGAGGGTTTCGCGAAGACTTTAGTAATTTTTAGAAGTTGAATTCAGGAGTCGTTTGGAGCTAGACCATCATGAATAGCCTTGAGGCACTGGACGGTCGTTTCTTCTTAGTATGGGACTCCTCAGCAGTGCGCGTTCACTATCCGCACCCGATCACGAATGGGGAACGCCATGCTATTCAGCTCCCGGTACTACTTGCCAGGTTAGACCAAATGCCCCGCGACATGTCGATGGCGTTCCAAATATATCTTTGAACCTTTTCGTTCCTGACTTCTAATTTGATTTGGTCAGTATCCTTCGATTATGAAGGTATGAAGTTTAAAGGCTTTGTTGAACTGAACACCTGTGGAATCTTTAAAGTTGTATATAAATCTAGATGTTTGAAATGAAATCACTGAAAAAGAAATTTCCATCCCTCGATTTTGTTAGCAATTTAATCTCTAATTCTCATCGTACTTAACCTGTTCAGTAATTTTATCACATAATTTTCACTGAACCCGTATTATAATTACTTATCATCAATTTCACAGATAACAAAAGACATTTATATCCATTTTAAATTCCTACTTTTATTTTAACGTAAATGCTTGCATTAATTATTTGATTTAAATTTCCCAAGCGCTGTGTATCTATCCGATTATTATGTTTGTAAATTGACTCATCATTGTCTAATTAGTATCAACTTTCCACTCATTTGTAAAACATCTATATTAGTCGACAGTCTTGATGAAAAATTAACTGTAAAGAAATATTTTGTCACTCAACTTGTCTTTTAATTTGTGTAAACTACGCTTACCCAATAAACAAGTAGAAAAATAATTGGAACTACAGGGTACGGCACACTCAGTGATTAATTTGCTCGCTAAGCGCGTAAAGAAGTATTTGTAAAGTTTACACGAGTCACATTTATCTCCAAGCTGAAAGCAGTGAATAGCTAGTATTATTCACAATGACTCTAAGCATTTCAAAATTAGATAAAACAATCAACAAAACTTATAAAGTTAGCTAACTGAAGGTCAGAATTAGTGTTTTATTACGTGAATTGTAGGAGCGCTTGACTCAAATATACTGGTTTGGCCTGTTTTTAGTTAATGTTTTATGGGAAGTAGTATTAGTTGTATCTCAGAGATAGGTATGGCTAATAAACTCTTGCCTGCTGCCGTCGTAGCTTCTCGCTCAAAACATTCTGCTACAGTAAGTTGTCTTGCCATATGTTATCGATTCATCGCGTAATAAGATTCTTTTTGCAGTTGATGAGGAACGTCCACAGTTTGCTCATCTTTTTTCAAATATTCTATTTGGGGGGCTAGAAAATTGTCTGTATATGGCCTAGGTTAAAATATTTCGTTTTTTGTTTCAACTAATGATTCGATGATAAAGGTTTCTGTAACACTATGCGACGACTTATGAATGATTCTTAAGTGACATTGAGAAATGTTAGACAATCAGAAGACAATTAGTATAACATAAAAATATATATTATACAACACCAAAGAATTGATGGGTACGCTTCTCTTACATGGCGCAAAACTTGTCAAGGTTAGAAAGAGCTTCAAAGGTTTGAAAATCGAAATTCATAAGGTAGACGAACTCATCCATATGGCTCCATAATACTCGTCCTCTTGAGCCATGATAAAGTCACAAAAACTCTCAGCCTCGACTACATAGCTTCAATATTGTTTGTATGTTCTCCGGTTATGTAAGTTGTCATTTTTATTACGCATATATCTCTACAGCACTCATACCTCCATACAGCCGAAGCTTCAGTGACATCTCCAAATATTGCAGCCAATAATACTGGTGCTTTTATTAAACAATTCACAGCAGTTAATAAAATTTGACTTAGTCTCAATCTGGATCGAGCAAAAAGGTCTCTATTCTAGCAATCTCCTTCCTCTAACATATATTACATCGAAAGATAACATCATCAGGGTGGTCTTCACAAGGTCTGCAAGTCAATCGATTGCCGTGATTGCAAATAAAGGAACTTATTATTAGTCCCATTTACTGTAGCCGCTTGTAGTCACGTTTTCTCTAAGATCTTATATGAACCGGTTGTACATGATCATCAGGTACTAAAATTGTCGCTATGACCTTGAAGTCCCTCGCCCACCACGCCTTTCCTCCTCAACTCATATTTTGATTACAAAATTTTGTAGTAAGCGGTCTTACAGTACACTTCGTGATCGGAATCCATACATCTTGTAGTTTAATTAGTGCTTTTTAATGGATGTGAATCGCACTAACCTCAGACTTGCGTAAGACAGTGCAGCTCTGCAAGTAAGGAAATTAGTGAGCTTAAACAGTTCACCCCTAACTATTACGTCGATCTATACCATTTTAGAACAATTTTCCACAACTATGAGGTGGTAGATAAAGTAATGCAATACGACAAGATGTGTTCAGAGGCGATTTAATGTATACAGAATAATTTTTTGAATGACGGGTGCTCATGATCTACCATAGCTTGAAAGATTTTGCTTCAGATACACCTTAGGAGGCCATACGCTTTTTAGTAGTTGACTTCAGTCAGCTTCAAGGTTTTATAAAAAGTAATATTTATTTAACGATAAAAACTGAAGAAACTATTGTACTGCGTAAGCAACAAATAATTAAGTCTTTCGGGTACAGTGAGAGAATGGTAGCAAAATATAACTGCTCTACAAAGGTTCTCGTAACATATGATCTCTTCCTTATTGTGAATGCATCGAATTCCACCTATCATACTTACTAACTTATTTATTTTTCAGTTGATTTTCTTACATGGATTGGGTGACACAGGGTAAGTTTACCTTACTTGAAAGGGTTGACTCGATAAGGCATGGTTGGTCGGATGCTTTGAAGGAATATGTTCCGGACTACTTCAAGATTATATGTCCTCATGCGTAAGTTCATAATGTTTGAGTTGTATATTTCTCACAGGAATTCAATACCAGTTACACTCAATGGAGGGATGTGCATGCCAGCATGGTTTGTTGTGATTTTTTTTGATTATTCGATGACAAGGTACGACATATATGCTTTAAGTGAAAACGCCAAACAAGATGAAGCAGGAATAAAAGAGGCATCGCTTGAATGTACATTCCATTTATTTTCGCCCTTATTATATTTTAAATAAAGTAGGAAAATTCGTTGATGCAGAAATAAAAGCCGGAGTCCCCATCGGGAATATAGTTATCGGAGGTTTTTCGCAAGGTGGTTCAGTGGCCCTTTATAATGCACTAACGAGCACTTTACAGTATGGTGGAGTTGTTGCTTTCAGTTGTTGGCTTCCACTCCATACAAAATTTATGTCCTCACCCACAGTATGCTTTTCTTTTTACAAATTATTATTGCTTAGCTCTTGACTATGCCCAAGGATGTACCAGTTTTCCAGTGTCATGGATTGGAGGATTATACAATTCCCTTTGCCATGGGAAAGCTAACTCATGAGCTTTTAAAAACTTTCCAGTTATCCAAATGTGAACTCAACTGTTATCCTCAATTATCTCACTCATCATGTGAAAAGGTAAACTGGTAGTAGTGACTATTTTTACCAAATTGCATTTCAGGAAATGGGAGATCTCCGAACGTTCTTGTCAAAAAACATACCTGGTACACAGTAAATTTGTGTGTTATAGGTGTTACTCATTCGTCGTTGCCTAAGATTTTTGAAGAATGAGTTTCAGTTCTGACTTTTCCTCCTTCACTTCCAGTGTACTATTCCCTGGCACATGTTCGAAATGTATTTTATGACCCCATAACATAGGTTTTCAATACTGTTAATGTTTACAGCTCTGCTAAGAAGTACCGTAACTAGGACTCATTTATGGATTCTACATTTCTCGGTTGTATTACATACCTCCTTTAATTCAGTAAAATATAACTTTTAATGCTAAGCTTTTTTCGTAGTTTTATTAGCTATTTTTAATTTTCATGTCTACGAGTTCAGTATTTTTTTGATCCCAGCAATATGTTGTTCCATAGGTTTGTAACATACCTTGTGATCCAGTCATGTTGTGCATTTTTGAGCTGGTCGTGTTTTGAATATAGTGTGTCCGACATTGGTAGTAGATTTCTCTCATACGACGTACATCTGTTGTGTCACGATTTCATTTGTCTTATTTGAAAGTCCGAATTCTCTCCACAGAGGGGAAAGGCAGGAGCCAGGTTTCGAGCAGTGAAATCGTAAACAGAAACTGAGATTTTACTCAAGTGAATCAAGAAGTTCTGATTGTGTTTGCTGATATATATGTAGTGAGTTTATTATAGATGTATAATGACTTCCGCCTGCCGTAAATTATTGACTTTTAGCATTGATTCCTTATCATGTTTTTCCAACAAATGGCTTCGAAGTGATTCCTGAAAGTAACTTCAAACTTTGAAGTGTTCCAACTGTCATAGAGACAGAAATAATAAGTTACCCACTTAGTTTTTTAATTTCGGTTATATTTCAAACTTTGTTTCTCTTACAGTTCTGTGAATAAATTTTTTATTAGCGCAAAAGGTATGTTTCGTGTGCCCAGGAATAATAAGCCATTTTGTGTCATTAGTGTACTATGCTCTGAAGCTAAAAATACTCTTTTAAATTTAAAATAAAAGTTTTCTACAGTACTATGACTGTACATTCATTAAAGTTTGATACACAGTGATGATTAAAAAGGATACTTTTTTGATATTTACGATGCATTCAGTGACCAACTCCGTCATTAACTTCATAACCCCTAATCTTACGAACACCCCCAGTATTTTTCAATCCATAGCCATTGTGGTTATCATTAGCGACTAATTATCAGCAGGTTAAACAACAGAAGTTATCATTCTAGCTAGTTATAGGTAAAAGTCCATGTTCATAAGAATTTCTGATATGACCACTTTAAAGTATTTAATTTCCGAGCTCTGATTTGTTAGCAAATCGTTATGAGGAATTTCCAATACAAATTACTGAACAATGACAGATTTCATTGCTAGGTTCTAAGGGACTTGTATCACATTACATCTATTAATGTAACAAAAACAGTCAGTCACACCGTAGAACCTGTACGCATGTACATCGGTTCAATTTACTATACTCCATTAACACAAAGAGACGAAGTTGTCAGACCAAATGCCAGAATAGTAGAGGTAGTAACAGTATCAATGCTAATAGGAAAGACTAGGTATCAAAGATACGACTCAGATAAGATATTAATTAGTGAAACTAAAACACGGAAAATTATTATAAGGAATTTAGTCCCAGGATTTGGAAGATAAAGAATGGACGCAACTGCGCCATTGCAAACAATTTTGAGCCATGTGATGCAGAGTATCTAACCATCAGTTACGATAATAATTCGGACACCAACAAGGTAGTTTGTACCCATGAACATGTCAGTTGTCAGTCACTTCATTTACTGATCCCATGTTCTGATTTTGCCATTCTTAGCTTTCTTCCAGTCTACCTCTGCTCCAAAAAACACCACCCATCGAGGTAGGCGTTGGTTGGGTTTAGGTAACATATGTCCCAACCATCTCAGTTGATGAACATTTACTACCTCATTAATCGATTTTCCGTAATTGCTTATTGCTCCATTCCTAACCCAGACATTACTCACCCCGTAGTCCCAAAATAAACGAGCGGTGCTTCGTGGACACCTATGATCGAATACTAGTAACTTACTAGTATTCTCTACTAATGGCCATTTTTCACATCCTTAAAGTAAGACAGAGCAAAATGCTACACAGTTAACTCGTCATTTTATTGAAAGGCATATTGCCTGCACCACAAGTGACGCAAGTTTGTAAAAGACAATCGAGCCTACTGAATCCGTGTTGAGATTTCATCAGACACTAGACCATCAATCAGTACTAATGAAACTCTCAGGATAAGAAAAGCGGTTGGTATGTTCAATTACTTCACTCCCTATCATTAATTCATGCGATGATGCAAGCCAATTCTGAAATACCACCTTACATCTGGAGGGAGAGGACCGCGTCTCAAACATGCTTGCATTGTTGCTTAAGGTGATGAGAAGACTGCATTTTGTCAGCATCTTCAAACAGAACTATATCATCTAAGTCAATAGTTAGGTGTCCTGGTAAAAAATCAGTCCCTGAAAATTCAGACGATAAAAATGTCTCCAAAATTATGTCTATGACAAAATTAAATTAAAATGGAAAACGCGGACAACCCTGAGGCACATTACTTGATGTAGCTAATTTCAACAACAGTTAGCCATAAATTCTGACTCAACCAGTAGAGTTTGAGTAGAGAGCCCGTACATGGTTGATATGCTTCTTCGGTACGTCTTCCAATGACATACTGCCTGAGAACCTCTTGACTGACCAACAAAATAAAATGCTATCTTAAAGTCAAGTAATACAACTATAGTCGGATTATGAGAAGTATGTCTATGTTCCAGAATCTGCTAAAGTATAAATATTTAGTCTATACATCCCCGTCCAAGTCTAAAACGGGCCTGCTTTCCTCGGGTTCGCTCTTTATGAGCTCTAGTTAGATATGGGAGTATTATTGAGGTTAATATTTCAGACACTATATTAGTCAAACCGATTCCTCTGTAATTGTCACAAGAGGATTTTTATCGTTTGTTGTTAACTAAGGCGACCAGAGATCGAGACCAGTCAGATAGGATCACGTCCAGTTCTCAGATTTTAGCTGAGATTTCAGTTAATCTAACTGCTAAAACTGGATCACTGTCTTTAAAATTTCCATGGGTTAGTCCATCAGACACTGCTTCCCTCTCTCGCTTTAGTTAACTTACAGCCTTTTCAACCTAAGAATTAAAGGACTTACATCAGTACACCACTCAGGTTGCTCGGAGATAGTGGGAAACTGAAGTGTGTCTGAAGACTGATTGATCTATTTTCTAAAGTGTTCTGCTAATCAGTTCAATCTCCTGCAGTGAGAAAGAATAAAAGTTTAATCTTTCTCCGAGATAGTTTCATTGATGGCCGAATTTCTAACACCCGTTTCCTTGATAAGTCTGAACAGTTGTCTACTGTTACTTATGGCTACTGTCTTTTCCATCTCTTCTGCTTTCTCTGGCCATCACGATCATTGCATATGATTCTTATCAGGCTACGTTTAACCTGCCTTTGCTCCTCACAGTGTTCGGACCCAGATGGGATGAGTTTCCGAACATCTATCTGTTCTGTAGACGTCGCCAAAATTCACTGATTTTCCCTAACCTTTTAGTTCGAGTCACTGGTAGATATTATTGCTATTTCCACAGCTTATTGGACATCATACCAAGCTACTTCGGGGTGGGTATCACTTTTATTGTTGACTAACTCCTCTAGTTGTTCCTGATATATATTCCCAACTTTGTCGTCAATAAGATGGATTCTCTTGCTGTAGCTTTCCTATGTCTAGTGAGACGCAGATAAATACGTGCTCTAACTAGAGCATAATCCGAGTCTAAACATATGCTACAGAATGAGCGACTGTCTTCAACTGAGCTCATCCAACGGTGTGCAGTAGCGATGTGATCTATTCGAGTCCATCGATGAGTCTATTGCGGAGGTCGCTGTTATATCCTAGTGAAGACTTAAGTACGGGTAATTTCCGAGACCTACTAGTAGACTTTTATTCTATATATATTCTTATTGTATAACTATTGAGTAATTAGTTTGTGTACATCTATATTCATCTTATTATGAGCTTCATTCTGACTTATGGATTATTATTAGTATACGAATTACCGTCCCTAAATTTTACCCAGTTAATTGATTGCTGTCTCCCACGTTCACAGCCACATTTGGCTTGATCGTGCTACATCGATGTCTGTGGAAGATTCTATAGCACTCAGAGCTACATCAAATTCAGTGCAAAAGTTAAATGGGCACTATCAAGTAGCTCCGCCTTAGAGGCACTGTTATATTCTAGTGAAGACATAAGTACAGGTAGTTTCCGAGACCTACTAGTGGACTATTATTCTATATATATTCTTATTGTATAACTATTGAGTAGTTAGATTGTGTATATCTATATTCATCTTATTATAAGTTTCATTTTAACCTATGTATTATTATTATTATACGGATTACCGTCCCTAAATTATATTCAGTTTATTGATTATTGTATCCCAAGTTCACAGCCACATTTGGGCTTGGTCTTGTACAAATATTATTTTCTATTTTATAGTGTGATGTCTGTCTGCCTGGTATATAAACCGAGTATGCTTGAAATAAATTATTTGTATAACAGAAGCTGTCATTGGTGTTCTGGATTCAATTGGAAGGGCTAGGTGGACAAGGGACCAATAAGGACGCTAGACTGCTCATACCGGTCGAACGTCATTGATTTGGCACAGTGCTAAGATAGGAAAAGTCGTATTCCGATTGGTGGATAAGTCACGTGATGAAAGCCGGGCGTAAAATCACAACGAATTGGCAGCGGCCTTCTTTTTTAAATTCATAACAGTCGCCACGTCAGACGATGTTTCTTCCTATGTTTAAAGTTAGTGTTTGTCAGAGAAAGATAGTTATCTGAGCATAGCTACAACACACGGTCGCCATTATCTGTTCTCTGATCCTTTCAGATTTGCTTAGTTTACCTACTTGAATATTATAATTGCCTACCGCTATTACTACATCAGAGAGTAGCTTTTTGGAGGAAGTAGGGCAGCTTCCAATAAAATTCATCTTCAACTTCGCCCTAGCTGCAATCAGTGAGGGCGTAAGGAGACACAACGAATATGGAATGACTTGTCTCCCAGTCTTTTCGAGTTATTACTGTGTTTGAATAATTGTAAGCACGTATTTCTATGACGTTCAGCGCTATTTAACTTCCTTTTGTTTATATGTAAACTTGTGTTTAGTTAAACAAGTTATTTGTTCTCTGAAGAAGAAACCAACCTTATTGTGGTAGGAACTCCATTTAGTCATTACAGATAAATCATCCTAACTTTAAACTGTAATATGTTTCGATTAGGAGAATTAAAACTTTTTTTATGACACATTTGGAGGCAAACATTCAGAAATGAAAAGATCTTCAGGGTTGACTGAAATTCACTTATATATATATATATATATATATATATATATATATATATATATATATCTGGATTTATAAATTATTAGATTCCACCTTTTAATTCCGTTTATATAGACTTGTACCGTTTATTGGGTACACGATTTATGTGTATTCATTAGTGATCTAATGAATCCATGTTTCAGGGAGATCTTTATGCTTTTCAAGGCCAAGAAATTGATCTAGTTTTGTATTGAATTCCATTGAACGTTTGGAGGTTGAAATAAATTGAATTGGCATAGATTTAGCCAACCATGGTATTAGATGACAAGCATTCATATAATTAGCCAACTTTTGTTGATTTTTCTTCTGTTCATTTATCGGAAATCGTGGATTATAAGCTGTTGTTGGGAAAAAAACAATGAAGTGAAATTCAGCACACTACTAAATAGATAAATACCTACAGCTATTAAAGTGTTAACTATTTCTGTATTTCTTGATCTGTTAAAAGTTTTGTCCATAAGGTTGTATACCTAGTCGTAGTAATTGAATGAGTATTTGTATCACTTCGTTCTCAGCTCTACTTTCATGCATTATATAACATCGGAATCAAATCAATAGAACGTTGTTCATCCAGCAGATTCCTCTCTTATCTTCACTACAAGGAAAGTCTTAGAATTGTGTCAAAGAGCTAAGGTTTCTTCTTTCAGATGGATTAAAGTAGCCTAGTTTCATTGTCGAAAGTTTTGGAAGCTGCGTGACATGTACTTTCTGTGTTTGTAATGCTAATAACTCATTCTCACCTTGTTTAATATACTTCTCGAATTATATATTCGATCAGAGATATACTTTAATATTAGTCTATCATATGTGAATGCAGTGTCTCAGAAAACTTGTTTCCTTACAACTTTTCATTTTTCATTACTTTTCAATGGGAAGCTGTCAATTAATACCTAGTTATTCTGATTAGTTAAATTTTCTAATATCGCATCAATATTTGGTAAGGTATATAGAGGAATTATTTTACTGGCCATATTACCACTCAATTCTTCGTGTTAATATGAAGTTATTTTAATCAACTTTTTTCTATCCTTATCTATGACTTTTAAGTCAGTGATTTGGTCGTACAGGTTTCCAAACTGCGTTTATGTATCAATCTCTTGTTGACACTGTTATTCTGAATCAGATTTAAATCCACGACACGGTGTTTCATTATAAACTTTGTTTTGTTTTATGTTTGACAGACATATGTTTCTCAACAGATCGAAGAAACTGTAGAGAATGATTGTAACCACATAATTTTTCTCTAATATAATCTCATTAATACTCACGAAGCAATTTGATTTTGTTACTAATTATTATCGTCAATCATGTAGTCACTTATAGTTATTATTATTTTCGGCTCTATTTCAAAAATTCTTTTTAAATCCACTAACTAAAGTGTGTCAGACATTGGTGCCCCCAAATGCCCTGGTACAGCCGAGAGTGGGGAGAGTCCGCTCTTTCTCTCGAAATGCTCTCACATGGACACGCGTATAAAGCCTCTGCCAGGGAAGTCCTACTCACTGCCTTCTCGCGGCATTACTGTTTACGAATTTGAGAGGACGAGAATCGAATGTCCGGCGCTTCAACCGGTTTGGTGGACATGAAAAGTCCACCTAGGGGAGTTGGAAAACCCTGGTTCCAAACAAATGGTGCACATAGGCTCCCGTATCCTTGAGGGAACATACTTCGTATGAACCAACTGTTGGTCACCGGCTACCATGGGACTGCATTTCCTTACGATGCTCCACTGCCTTGTGGATCAGACCTTTATGTCAAAGGCTCCGGGTGTGGCCTTCTAAGAAAACCACCTGCTTCACTTTGGGCACCTGGGCAGTATCACAGCCTTCATACAAATCGAGTGAGATTTGTGCGGCGCATACATATCTGGTGCTTCCTTGTACCAATATTTATGTGTTTAAATAAATAAAATAGTCAGACATTGGTCCCTAATTATATTAATTCTTGTAATTCTAGGCTATTTTGACCTGATGAAAAACTTTGAAATATAATGGATTTATTTTATTGTGGAAAAACTGTTTTTGTTAATGGAGTTGTGTCCAAGTTTTAAACTTCGTGATATTGTACATTCTTAGTCTAAAGATATTCACCTTTGCTGAGAACATATCCTCATTAAATCTGATGATTATTAGTTTTGATAAGTATTACTACTAACAAAATGAACTCTTCCAATTGATCAGTTTCTGGTATGTATTACAATGCAATATTCACTAATATTTTACTGTTTACCTTTTAAATGTAATCCCATATAAATCAATGCTGATCGTTTAATTGTAATGAATGGAAACTTTGGCCTTTCTTGACCAATAGCAGATAATGCCCTACGAAGGGCTACAGCTAATGTTTGTTCAAGAAAACCAGGCAATGGTAATGATTTCACTGTTATGGGGTCGACAACTGGTGGCAACTTGTGTGGCAGTTGTAAATTAGTAAAAAGAATAGGTTTTCTGTATAAATAAACATGAAAAAAAAGAATATTTCCAATGATATTCTGTAGCATGAAAAAATTTTTAGTCTTTGAGATAATTGGTGTCAGTAGATGAACATAACTTTTGACTACCAAAGGGATATCGAATACTGACTAGTAATTAAGACGATACACTTAAACCTATAACAGATTCCTCATTCAACATGAACATCTACCGTTTGATCGATTTTGTTTGTTTCCCAAATTAAATAAACAAATACAGTATGAAAAACAGTTATATACAGTAGTGTTTATATAATTAAAAGTTAATTCTAAACAGAAGTAGAATGTGTTCTATGGAACGCACTTACAAGTAGTAGGCTACTCGTGTAACTTATATAATGTTGTAAAGGTAAATAATTTTAAAGACCAAAACTTTTAAACTAAAAAAGCCCGACGAGTTGAACAACATTAATCAAATTTCTGTTAATTACAATTATAGTGAACAGAACACTAGTGGGGTCCATCGGATGAATTTGACACGCAAACTACAGACTATCTCACTAAAATCCGACAACCATACAGTAAACAGTTAATTTGCAAACTGTCAATCGATTGTCTCAATCTTGACTATTCCTTCTGAAAATATCAGTCCATAGTCTCCGTTTATTGTTGTTCATGCATTTTCATACCAATTGCGTTTCGTTTCCGTTCTTTCCTTATCGATCCCCTAGCGAAATACATTCTATGCCTGACCATCACCATATACTGCTTATGTGGATATAATTAACCCACACCACACTGTCAAGTGTGATAAAAACAAAAATTACTTGTAAATTCACGGTAGACTTGTTTGAAATCGGTCACAATAGTGCGTTCACATTAATTATTTGTCTTTAGATTTTGAACTTAGTACCACTCCATATTTGGAATTCGTTGATCTTACTCAGCCAGTCCTTTACAATTATGCTTCTTACATTTAGTCTAAACTTGGACCGACACTTCTACTATTCACCCCTCTGTTCATGCCAGGAAGTGTTTAGCTCATTTTATTAGATGGTAGTTCTGACGTACAAAGAGGTCAATGATAACTTTTTTCCCCACTAACCTTTGTTGAATGATTGTTCTCGCTTTTAGCTTGCTGACTTTTGTTACCGTATGGTCATAATTGTCAATATATGAAAGTTGTTCTACAGCAATCCTAACTACAAGTATTAATCTTTTCACTAAGTTCTTGACTTCTATTGCTTGGCGTCATCCGGTTTGTCTAGTTCACGTACATCCTGTCTCGTATCTGAAGAATTCGCCAAATGTTTGTAATTCGGAATCACCGCAGGCTATTTGAAATATAACCATTTCTCATTTTCCTAACTGTTACATTCACTGAATTGATTTGAGGTGTAGTAAGATGAATTGACGCAAATTCGTTTTAGATCCTTCTTTGTTTTTAACTAACTGACTATGTTTTCAGCAATTTTAATTATGTAGCATTGATAAAATCTCACTGATTGATTTTCTCTCCAATGGTCTATCAAATAGTAAAACTTCATAACAACATTGAGAAGCTAAGTTTTATGAGTGTACCGCTAAACTGTAAAATATCTAACTTCAGAAAATCAAGAGATGTCTGTTTTGAAAAATAGTTTTAATTTTAGACCAATTTCGATGTTACTTTTTTAAGATTATCTGTTTGAATAATATTTATGTAGACTTTTTTTTATTTATATTTATGAGAGTTTCGTTTGAATGTTTTTTCTTTTCATGAAAAGAAACAATTCCTGGGCTTGTTTTCTTATTTATTAATTCTTGTTACTAGCAGATATCGATGTTGGTTTGTTCTCTGAGCTGGATGGTTTAGTCGTGGAGCTTTCATCGTCCTTCTGAACGACATCATCAGCACAAACTTCGGGTAGAAGTGAAGTGTTTGAATTTCTCCACATGTGATTCACAGCTTGTCCTCTGCACCTCGATGTTGATTGGTTCTTATTGACCTTAAATCTGTCATTGTTTATTTCTTTGTTTTGGTTGTATCTCCTATTGGTTTGATTTTTGTTCCTATGTTCCTGCATAATTTTCTTGATTGGTTGATAGATTAGATTGATGTCAATATGTTTGTTTATTGCTGAGTGCCAAGCTTCTAAGAAATCACCCACCTGAGCTACAAATCTTCTCCATCAACTCACTGATATTTTAAATGGTTGAATTTTCACTGAACTCATGCTCTAATCAGTCAGTTCAAAACCTAGCAAAATTTGATTGTTTATGCGTAAATGATGTGCTTCAATGGATCATGGTTTAAACTGAGTATCATTAACCAGGATTTTTCACAGTTTTCTATAAGCCACTAAAGCTATACTAAAGTTACTATCTGTACGCTATGACTTAACTATTAATCTTATTTTTGATGCAGAGTAAGCAATATCGAGGTTAGATATAGAGTACTAGGTGAATAGGAAAATCGATTGATGAGGTAATAAATGTTCATCAACTGAGATGGTTGGGACATATGTTACCTGAGCCCAACCAACGCCTACCTCGATGGGTGGTGTTTTTTGGAGCAGAGGTAGACTGGAAGAAAGCTAAGAATGGCAAAATCAGAACGTGGGATCAGTAAATGAAGTGACTGACAACTGACATGTTCATGGGTACAAACTACCTTGTTGGTGTCCGAATTATTATCGTAACTGATGGTTAGATACTCTGCATCACATGGCTCAAAATTGTTTGCAATAGCACACGTGCATCCACTCCATATCCTTTTATTCAAACAATACCCGACAGAATTAGTAACTAAATCATTTTATAGCATATTCAGTAGTTATTAGTCCAATTTTCCATCAATCTGATATGCTTGATGCTATGACGAGTTCACCTTACTCGGTAAACGGAACGAAGGTCAATGACACAGTGACATGATAAGCTATTCTAATCCGTTGTCCTCGGCCCTGCTAACTACATCACGATGTTTCGATGAGGCGTAGAAAATGTATTCTACAAGCACCCAGAAAAACGTGGTCACTAAGCACGCAAATCAAGCTTATTTGTACAATGACAGAAACTCCCTTGGGGAGAGCCACAAAATAGCGTACTAAAAGGATCGTCAACCAATGACAGTCAAGGAATTCCGAGTGAGAAATGTAAGCTGTAGGTCAACTAAACGTCTCTTAGAGTGAAAACATAAAATTCAAATCTTCAGAATAAAATTACAAAATTAGGACCTTTTCCAAGTAAGTTCTGAAGATCTAAAATTCTCAACACATTCAATGTACGACATTTATCAAATCTGAAAGTCATATTAGTAAAAATTGTGTTAAGCAATAAATTATATGATTTAACTATGAAATGAAAACAATTATAAAATAATTTCAGCTACCTTTCTCTTGTTACGCTTACCTGAGAAAGTTCAATAAACAACTATTTGAACAAAATGCATAAATTTTGTGGTCGTAATTAGCCAAGTATTCCGGTAATCCTAATTTTAAACCTTCATAACGTAATTTACTATCATAAAAACAAACTGGACAATAACCATTTAGGGCTAATTGTTTGGGGAATGAATCATGTATTTGCTTTAAATTATCCCCTTTTATTCGTGTTGGTAGTAGTTCATTTTCTGGTAATGCATTTATATTATTCGGTGAAACATATCTAGTTGGATTTGCTAGAAATGCTTGTAGTTCACTTGGTCCAGCCATACGATAATAACGTCCTTCATATTCAGCGGTAAAACGCATTGATGTATGGATATAAATTAAATTATTCAAATCATTACTTTTATTATTATCACCAATGGAAGTGGCAAGATCACTGTTGATATTATTGTTTTGATTATGGATGTTGGGATATTCATTTTCTTTACTACTGTAATAATTATTATTGTGTAACATTTTCCGCAAATTATGTTTTGTTGAATTGATGAGATCTGATTTGTTTATTTGATTATCATTGATATTTAACTGAACAACGAATCGTTGTTTAGGTTCATCGATTGTATTTTCTAACTCTTGCCTTTCCCTCAATGTGACAGGACAATATTGACGGAATTCACTGCTTAGTTTCTCATATTCACAGTGTTCAATGCCTAATTCAGCTATAGAAGCAGCTTTATCTAAATGGTTAATATTCATTTGTTTAAACAAACCAGTGAAGAAGACAAAATGAATTTCAGGAAATGAAAAGTTTCAAAGTGTATTGTCAACAAGATAATCTCGGGGTGCTGATAAAGATATGATTGCAGTTTTCACTTACCGGTTGTTCACACCGCGGAAGAATATTTCTTCTTGGGGGACCTAAAAAAGGAGCTGAATCAGTAGCAGCCCTAGCGACCTAGAAGAGTGATCGCACAGCCCAAGGGACCACTGCATGAGTCCCATCGCTCACAGTATTCTTATGGGACGTTTTCGATGTGTTATCTTCTCACTTCCAAAGACATTGCCGCCGGAGATGGTAATCTGGTGGGTAAGCTTGAGGTGTGACATTTTTAGAGTCGATCTTTTCTGACCTCGTCTTTCCGTTGTGAGAAGAAAGTATCACTTCAGATGCTGGTTGTCCGAGGAAAACATCTTACTGCTGTTGTAATACCTCTCTACAACAGTACGACGTTTCCCTCGTTCCTTAAGTTACTGCTTCTGGTGTTACCGTTCTCCAACCTACCTGGGTGACATGGTAGGACCTGAGGGAACATGTGTTCCAGCCAATATAGCTCAGTTGAGTCATCACAATAGGCAAGCTTGACTACCACATCGACGTAGCAGCTGCGGTCTGGTGAAGAACAAAGGTTTCCATTTAACAAAAATGATAGGTTGGTATTGTGTTGCACTGTTTATCATCCAGCATATAAAATGGGGCGATTAAAATATAACTTACGAGTAGTTATTCTTTCCATATATTCTTCAATATGTCTCATCCTATGCTTAATTAAATAAATAACTTTACGCCATAATAACCATCGATTTTGAACAGCTTCTAATTCAACCAGAATTCCATTACGAGATAAATACCATTCTTTAAGTTGTGATATAATGTTATCATAAGCTGCTAAACGAATAACTAATTCTTGTGCAATATCCACTTCTGGTTCAGGCATTTTGAATCCTTCTTCATTTCTTTCTGGTTCATTTTCTGAATAGTGTTCTTCTGCAGTTTCATTCGTTGTTATATGTTTTTCATCAAAGGTAAGAAATGAAAGACTTGATTTGGACAGTTTTACTTGATTTGTGTTTGATGCTTGTGTTATTCCTCGTACAATTAATTCTTCTCTAAATTAGTGATATGAAATTACAATTCATTATGTTAACAAATCCGAATGTTATTGTTAAGACTATTGTACTCCAAACAGCCATACCCATAATAATAATAATACAATAATGGATACTACTGATACTTTAAGTCTTATACCGTTTTTAAATCTTCGTTGATATTAACAAATTCAATAACAAAACGTCACAAAGAAACGTAATTTCATCGTTTTTTTTCTTTTTATGAGAGATAAACTACTTGTTGAAAAAACCTAATCTCAGCTATTCTTCCAAACTGTACAATTTGTTTATTTTATGCTTCTAGCGCAATGAGTTTAAGAAAATCCGAAAAGATAATCACTATGTGGTCAGTAATAAATAATTTCTATTAATTCCAGTATGAATTCATATCCTGTAGAGTCAAACAAATAAAGTGTAAGATAGAAACCCAATAAAGATATAACTTAGGAACGTGATTCATCAGAAGTCAGCTGAAAGTTTGAACAGATCCATTTTATATAAGTTATCTAAAGTTATCGTGTTTGTCACAAGACCTGGCGATCTTGTTTTCAATTTCATGTCAAGCAATTGAGTGCTCCCTGCTATGAATTCTCATAGGAAGGTGAAATATCTATCCGAGACATTTCAATTATCAACTCTTTTACAATTGATTTTAGTTAGAGATGAAAATTACTGTCAAAATTCAAACAATTTAGTCTTACAGAAATGTAGAGATATGTAATGTTATAATTGTTTCATTTGAAATATGTAATTTGAACTTATCTAGTTGAAAAATAAAATATTGTTTTTACTAATTATTAGATGAAATTTAAGTGTATGCAACGGGTGGTTATTTTAAGGACACTTGCTAATTAGTTATTACCTTTCATAGTTTGTGAGGCCAATAATTTTCGGTACATATAAAAACGTCCTTCATACCAACCGGATATTAATTAACAAATTTATTGAACACCAGACATCATCAATTAGATGTTTCGTTTTAGCATAGAAACCCTATTATTCTGTCATTATACAATAGTGATTTGAAATCAAACCAACAATAGTTGTCGTAAATGATTCCACTATTCAATGGTTTTCAAAGATAACTTTGCCAGATATGACCGTTCAAAAATCCATGTTATTAGATAATAATAACCAATAAAATATGGTCCTGTGGTACAAATGAAGATCATAATCACTTAGTATATTGATCGTAAATTATATCTCTAAACATGTTATGGTCACATACTCATAAAATGGTATGGAATGTAATAAGACCGTTTTGTTTCTACTTTGGTCGGTTTTTATTGGTCGATTTTTAGACTGTCTTTATGGTAAGAAATATAACCCTCATCAAGAAACTTTTAAAATATCTAACATTACTCCACATACAATAACTGTTTGTACGAATTTTGTTAAAAACTTGATTAAATGTTAGTTACTTAAATCTAGACCAACCTTTATAACTTTTCAAATGAGAGTGTTTCCGAATTTTTATTACACTACTTTTTGAAAAAAAACTTAAATATTAGGATTTTCATTGTGATCTTAAACTTAACGGATATGTTCTGGATTATAGATGAGATCAATGTTGTACTCCTTAATGTTAGA